AAGAGAGAGAAAGAGAGAGAGAGAGAATACTGTGCGAAAGAACGATTTCGAAGGAAGATTTCGCGTTCGAACCTTCGGCTACGAGGTTCGCCTGAACTCTGTGACAGAACCGAGGGTCTTCAAGGACGTTCGCGAGCCGTTCGATAACCAGAATCCAGGCTAACAGATGTTGGAAAAGATCATGCCGTGCGAACCGATTGCCCCGGTTCAAACTAGCCGAGACGATCGTCGCGGGAGCATCGAAAATCTTAGAGAATTCCAGAAATCGTTGGATATCGAGAAGTTGGTTTAACGACACCCGAAGAATACGAACATCGCTCGCGTCGAGACTCGAAGATTTCAGGATTTCAGGGGGAAAAGGAGAATCGAGAATCGAGGTTCGAATTTTTCCTTCCTCGAAATTTCGAACGATCTTCGAACAGTGAATACACGCAAGAAATTGTATGGTCATAGTGAGGATCTCGTTCGTTTGTGCGCTCGTTCGGGCTTGCGTCGAGCCACGTGGTGCTCCGAATCTGCGCTTCATCAATCCTCGCGCGTATACGCAACCTTCTCTCTTTGCGAAACCGCGTCTCGAGAAGGTGAAAACGAAGCGAGAGAGAATCCGGCGAATCACGGTGAATCGAAAGTATTAATAATTTTCCTTCGTTCGCATCGTCGAGCTTATGTGGTGTCGTTCGAATCGTATTTACGCAACGGAAAGAAGAAAAACTGTTCACGCCTCGAAGACGTCGAAGATTTTTGCACTCGGGGATAGTGAGACAGTGTGAACGGATCGATGAATGAAAGGAAGAAAATGAAGATAAAAGAAAAAAAAAGAAAGAAGAAAATGAAAAATCGAATAATGATAAATAATTGTGTGATTAAATTTAAAATAGTCGAATATCGACGTATAAAAAAAAAAGAAAGGTATATTAATTGGGGGAAAAGTGGGAGAAATATAACTGCTTATCGATTTTATCCTTGTCGTCGATTAATGAGACGACTGAAGGGAACGACGAAGAGAACGTTACGCTTTACGGACGTGTTAGCAGCCGACGGCTCTTTGCCAACGAGATCGTCACGAATCAACGATGAACAAGTGAGAGGTAAGAGCCAACATCGTAAAAAATAAAATCGATCAAAAGCCTAACCGTGATTCTATCGAAACTCGGTATCCTCCCTCGAAAAATCCTCCCTATTCCACCTCCCCTTCATCCACATTTCTCTACGATAGTGAAGTGTAGATATTCGAAACGCGTAATTGAGAACTGGAAAATAATTTTTCTCGAATATATATTTCCCGAATTTCGATTTGGTGACGCTTCTCAAGTGAGCAATTCGTAAAGTGAACCTCGACAAAAAAAAAAAGAAAAAGATCTCTCTTCACGACGCATCAGTTCGACAAATTTTTATCCCCCAACTTCCACTCGATATTCCAAAAAAAAAAAAAATACCGAAACAATAGATACCCGAATTCGAATTCAATACGAATTAGCCTTCGAAACGTTCGTCCAAGGGTGCTATCGTCCAAAGTGGTGGTGGTGGTGGTGGTGATGGTGAAGACGATCGAGTAACCGCGAGTGACATCTTCCTCCGGGAGTTTCCATCTCGATTCTCGCAATCGTGAACTCGATGCCCGAAGTTAAATTTCGTTCGAAGGGGGCCGGAACTTCCACCCCCTCCCTCCTCCTCCCCCTCGAAGAAGTTGTAACGGTGGACAAACAGTTTCCCGACCCGATCGAGGCGGATCCACCTGTTAGGCAAACAGGGTGACCGCAAATCTGCAGCTCGGAGGAGAGAGAGATGTGCCGTGTGGTCCACCTGTAGGAGCGGCGGTGTGTGTGCTTGCCCTCGCGTGTCGAAAAATTTCCTCCGTATTCGGGCGAAAAGAGGAGAGCACGTGTTCAGGTAACCGCGCCCTCGGGGTCGCATTGTATCCACGAGAAAATAGCGAACAGTGGATCCTCTCCTCTTCTTTCTTTCGCTCGCGCCGCCTCTTTAATCCCGCGTTCGACAGAATTGGGAAGTCAAGTGCTCCATTCAGCTTCCTCCTCCGTTCGGCCACCTCAAGGGAAATTCTCGTGACGCGTGCGGCTACCTGAAGATTTTTCGAAAGATTTTTCACGGGCTTCGAATGATTTTTTTTTTGTGCTCCTCGATGGCGGAAGTTTTGTTTCGACGGTGTTTTCGTGTTGTTCGAAAAGGGAAGTTGGAAGTTGGAGTGATTTTTCGAGCAGGATCGATCTATCTTTTCACGAAGTCGAGAGAGAGGTGTCAATTTCGAGAGATGAAGAGGAAGAAATATTTGTGTGGTAGTTGGAAATCTATTTGTTTTTCGAACGAATTTTTATTGAGTGAGATCGATCTTGTTGTAAATATATATTGCTAAACTTGCCAGTTTCAACGTGTTCTTCCACGTAGTGACGTATCGTTCGAGTTGTGACTATCGTAGATGCAATTTTCATACTTGATAGACAAGCGATTATATAAAATCGATATACGCTATAGGTGGAGAAGTTAGCTTCGAATGACCTGTATGATTTTATGCAGGAAATATCATTATCTTGATGTTTAAATTCCACGATGATTTTCAATTCTGACTTGTGTCACGGATCGCGTTACAGTTACAGAAACGTCGCGCGAACAGTGGCAACTTATCAGTGTTTCGATAGCTTCGAACTTTACGAACGATCGTTAAACCGACGATTTTCTTTAAACTGTATCTCGATGTACCAAAATAAGTAAAAATTTTTCTCGAACGATAGGTTCTCTTATAAAATTAACAATTTCGATAATTTTTATCCAAATTCTTCATTCTTCAACGAATTATTCCTATAAAATTATCAAAACTTCAATTTCACAACTTTGCAAAATTCGTTAATTTTTTTACTCCAAATCTTCACTTCTACCAACAAACTATTCCCATGTAAAACGAACAAACTTTCTCAAATTTCGATAATTTTTATCCCTAAATCTTCAATCTCTTCCAACAAAATTCGAATCCAACGTTTCGACGTTGAGGCCATGCGAGGCCAGAGGCATCGTAGGAAGGACTTGGAATGTCGAGCGTGGAGGAAACTATCAAGAAGAGTATTAATCACACGCGATCAAGTCGTTAGACACGGATATCGCGGCGATATTTCACGCCGTCATTGGCACAACAGCCTTCCAAGTGCGATTTTTTCCTCTCTCTCTCTCTCTCCTCTTTTCTTTTTCTTCTTCTTCTTCTTTTTTTTCCTCTCTCTCTCTTTTTTTTCACTATCGTCGTTGTCGCCGGTTGTACCGCAAGACGAACCGGCTTCTAATAATTCATCGCGTTGGAGGGATCGTTTCGAAATCTCCTCATCTCTCGTACGTGTATACGTATATACACGGGTATAAATCTTGGTCGATAACTCGTCGGTTGATTTTCGCGCGGATAGATAGTTCTCTAGAGGGGGAATGGCGACGTTCGTCGGCTGAGAAACGTCGACGAGGTGTGCACGTTTGATCCTCACCGTGCCTGTGCCCGTCGGATACCAGAAGTGTTGAATAGCCTCGCTCGAACTGAGCTGCTCGAACACCGCTTGATTTATGACCGGTGAGTGGGAATGTGTGTTAAAATGTGGACGTGCACGGCCGATACGGATGGCGAACGAGCCTCCAAATGTAATTTCGTAATCTTTTGTGTTCACGGTTCCCTCCGATGCTGGGGATCTGGACTTGTACGTACCAGGTGTTCCTAGATACCTTCATTCGAATATCATTACGTTGAATCGTTTTGAATCGTGGAATATTTTTGGAATTTCTTTTTCGGAAAGAGGGGAGGAAGAAGGTGTCCATTACGAAAGTCGTTGGAGAAATTATTCGAAGAATTGTTTGAAGATGATAAAAGGAACCAAGTACCGAGGTATGAGTTGATTTTCCTTATCTATCTTGTCAATTTACTAATTTAAGCTTAGGAATATAGATTCGTGAAGTGTTGTTGACACCAATTAAATTAGAATATAGTTCTAGTTCCTGAAGAAATTTATATTTACATTACCGCGAAACACAAAAATAGGCGTTCAAATTTCTCTGCGTCCCTCGAAACTGTCCTAAAATAAAAATATTATTCCCAAACTCGTTCAATCAAAAATAAATACTTGAATCGATCGAAATTCGAACCGTCGAAGAGATATCATTCTTCGTTTTCCATTAAAAATCCTTTCATTATTTCCCAAAATCCATCACCTCCGCCTCCACTTCCGGAGAAAAGCACCGTTCCACGCGCGTCCACGGTGTCCCGTTGGATTTAAAAGTCTCGGAGGATTTAAGGTTTATTCGATTGAATCGTGGAAGGCAACGGTGTGGTATCGCGATGAATGAAATGCTAAATGCGAGTAACGCGTTCCAGGAGAGCCGGGGACAATGTGTCTCGGGGGCAGAGAGAAATATAAAGGCTTAGAGACCCCCGACAAGAAGAAGACAATCGCTCGCAACTTTGCTCGCTAACCCTGTGTACAAGCTGCGGTTCGGTGGATATATACCCGAGCGGGGCCTTACAGGGGCCATTATCCGATCGTGGAATTTGAGATCTGGCCCTTTCAACCGCGCGTCAAATTATCCCCGAGCACAATGCGCCCGTTGATTGATATCTTCAGTCGTAGCTGCCGTAACGCGGCCTGGCCACGTTCGTTCCTTCGTTCGTTCGCCTCCTTTTCCATCCCCTGTTCTCCTCCTTCTCGCCAATCTCGCATTCGCTCCCCCTTTCTCCATCTTTCGCTCTCCTCGTTCGATCGACTCGTTTCGCTTTCTTCTCTTGCTCGTCCTTTTTTTCTTCCCTTCTTTTTTCTCTTTTCTTTTTAGGCCCGGCCCTCGCAGCCCGTGCAGCGGCCTCGCACAAAGCGAGCGCCGAATATCTGCGCGGACCCACGCAACCTCACCACCTTGATTCATTCTAAACTTCTGCCTTCTTCCTTCGAGAGAAGAAATACAAAGTCGGGAAACTTCTCGATTGTTACAGTTTATCTCGATTGTTATAGCGTTTCTGTTTCTGTTTTTCATTGTCATTGGATGAAGATGGCGTTGCGTGGAAATCGTAGATGTATAGAGAATTTAGAGTTCTTGGCGTTTCGTCGAAGCTCGAGAAAGAGAAGTTTTTTGAAGAATGGTTGTTTCGTTTTGAAATTTGAATAGCAGATGAAGATTGTTTCGAAGTGAAGAGGTTTTGGGTGAAACTATGAAAGTTTGGAGATTCTGATATTCGTAACTTGTTGAGTTTTTTTTAATATATGTTGTTTTCATCTTTGAGATAATTAAATTTGCCCAAGTGATACGAATTTCTCGTTGCAATAGAAATAATAAAAATAATGCGTATAATAATTTTAATAATAGTCAAATTTTCTACCCTTTTTATACGTAAATTTATTTTCCACAATTCTAGGATGCGAATGTACAGTTAAAAACTTTCAAAGAGTTATTTTTCGTTAATGGACGCTTGGTTGAGAGTGAAAGTTACCATTAATTTCTCAAACGTATTCGTGTACTCTTTTATTATTGATAATAGTTCTTCTTTTTCGAAACTACGAAATATTTTTCGCGAAATTTCGTTTCGTTTAGACATCTGCGACGGTATGTACGTGTCACCTGCAGCTGTCTGAGAAACATCTCGAAAGTGACACCCCTAATCATGGATAATTTACGCATGGCCGAATTAGGTAATTACTCGAGGCGCAGGAACGTCCATTCATCTTTTTACTTAGCCCATTTTAGCTCGAAATTGGTATAATTAGCGCGAGGATATAACGTAGTAGAAACTCGTGTCCTTTCCTCATCGTAGAGGATTAAACCCCTCTCTCTATATATATAATTCTCTTTATCGCCGGTGTTCCTGGTATCATCACCCTTTCACATTTTTCTTGTCCGTCACTCTATTGGTGTTTCCATGTCTCTTTCAGTTCCTTTGATGTCATCTTTTGTCGCGCTCGACCTTCGTTTATCTTCATTTTCTGCTAGCTAATTATTACGAAATTGGAATACGTTTTGTACCATTCTATCTCGTGTTTCGAGTATTTTACCGTCAAGATAATCCTTAGTACAATAATAATTGAATGATATTTACAAGTAGAACTCCAATTTTTATATA